CTGTCAGTCTTCACGGAAGCAAAGCCCAAACCACACCCACTGCCGTGGAGTCCATTCTGACTCACAGCGCCCCTAGAGGACAGAGTGGAACTGCCCCAGAGAGTTTCCCAGGCTATCAGTCTTTACGGGAGCCGACTGCTAGGTCTTTCTCCTGCAGAGCCTCCGGGGTGGGTTCAAACCACACACCTTTCGGTTACCATCCAAGTGCCACCAAGCCTCCTTTCATCACTGAAAAGGGTTTTCAAAAGTACCCACAGATCCCTGAAAAAGCAGCTGTTCTTTTGCCAAAAAAAAAGTAAAACCTGTGGCAGTCAGAACCTGTGTAAAGTGGAAGGAAGGAAGATGCAAGTATTTTCCACTGAAGCAAGTGACAGGAAATTGTACCACTCAACTCTGTCAAAGGTGGAAAACTTGCAAGACCTGGACAAACCAGGCAGGCCCATTGAGGTCTAGCTCTCCCGAGTTACGCTGTATGTAAAAACCACGGAAGCTACCGTCTCTAATACTTTTGAATAAAAAATACAAGATATATACATTTCCAATAATGAATTAAACAGAAGAGTTAAAGCCAACAAAGGTGAATACTGTTACACACCCAATCCTGCAGTGACAGCAATTATAATAATCTTCGAGTGGATACAGAGAGGGGAGCTCTGGTAGCATAGTGCCTAAGGCACTTGACTGCTAACCAGAAGGTTGGTGGTTCAAACTTACCAGCCACTCCTTGGAAGGAAGGTTGGGTAATCTACTTCCATCGTGATACCGTCTCAGAAACTCAAGGAGAGGTTGCTATGACTCGGGTCTGACTCAACAGCAATGAGTTTGGTTTGGTTTCTGGATACACAGACATGCAAGCTCAACTGGGTGGGAAGGTGAATGGGACGACAGCCACAGCTCTGTTAAAAAATAGTGAATTCATCTTTCTTGTCGGTTTGAGGTCTAACCGCTGGAAGCCAGAGGCATTTGATGACATTTAGCTGACAGTCAAGATGCTGGCACTGTCCTAATCTTAGGGATCACACCCACGTCTTCATGAGTCACATCTGAGTATACTCAGCAGTTGCTCCCTAACCTTTCTTCTATTCACAGAAACCCATCACACTGGCCACAGTGAGGTCTACAGACCCTGCCTCTTTGGGCTTTCTCCCAAACACACACACAATCTCTTATTTGCAACTTCCAAATGCCCATGAAAATACTCCGGAGTCGAATTTCACGGTCCTGCTTCTGGACTTGGACTAGTAGCTGCTCCGATCAGAAAACGATCAGCAACACGATTCAAAACCCTTCCAATCCACAAGTAAGTGAAATCCTGAAAATACCTCGTTTCGGAAACAAAACTCTGACAAAAGCAGGGAACGCAACTGAAACTGACATGATTGGACTCATTACACGTGCTGGATGGTGAATGAGGAGGAGGCAGAAACAATGCATCTGAGTTACGGTGCGGACAGGGGATACTGCATAGACCGGGGACTGTCAGAGGATGAACGGATCTGTCTCGGACAAGGTACAGCTGGAACGATCCTCAGAAGACAGGGTGGCAAGCCGTTGTCTCACGTACTGGGGACGTGTTATCAGCAGGGACCAGTGCTTGGGAAGGGGTCATGCTGGGGGTCAGCGGAAAAGGGGAAGGCCCTCAATGAGATGGACTGACACAGTGGCTGCGACGACGGGCTCGAGCAGGGATTGCGAGGCTGACGCAGGACCGGGCAGCGTTCTGTCTGCTGTGCGGGGCCGCTGTGAGTCGGCACTGATCGGTGACACCCAACAACAGCAACCAAACCTGCCCCACAGGCACCGAGGTTTCAATACCTGTTCATAAGCCAACGTGGACAATGGAAGCAACAATAAAATGATCCTGTCAACTTATTATCCACAGTCAGAATGTTTTTCAGAAACAGAACTGAAATTCTAGTGATGAGACTTTATCTGGTAAGTTATCACCGTTCACAGGGAGAGACAGGGTGACTCGATACAGGGTTCCTTCGTGGGGTGATGAGAACGTTCTAGAATTACGTAGTGGGGATGGCTCCACATCCTTATGAATAGACTAAAAGCACAGAACTGTGTGCTTTAAAAAGTGGTGAATTTTATGGCATCTGAATTTTACCTCAATTAAAAAAATCCTTTTTCAATTCCCTATAAATTATTCAAAGAAGCCGTTATTAGTCTCTCCCCAAAAGAAAATGATAAATAATTAAATCTCACATAACTCAAGCCTATTAGGAAGCTATGTCACAAGGTCAGATAAAATGTAATTTGGTAAAATAATGACATAGCCTTAACTTCAAGAGGAGCAAATTACACATAAAACCCACTGCCATCGAGTCTGTCATGAGTCATGGTGACCTCCAATGGGTTTCCAAGGCAATAAATCTTTATGGTAGTAGAGTGCTCACTTCTACTTCCATGGAGTAGAGGAGCTGGTGGGTTTGAACCATCAACCTTCTTGTCAGCATTCAAATGCTTTAGGCACTGAGCCAACCAGAGATCCTATATATATATATATATATATATATATATATATATATATATATGTATGTATGTATGTATGTATAAACATACACTCACTCACTCACTGCCCCCGAGTCGGATCTGAGTCATAGCGACCCCTCCTTGGATTTCCGAGGTGGTATCACTAAGGAAGTAGATTGCCCAACCTTCCTTCCGAGGAGTGGCTGGTGGGTTTGAACCGCCAGCCTTCTGGTTAGCAGTCAAGGGCCTTAGGCACTCCGCCACACCAGGAGTAGTGGATGTGAGAGTTCTGTGAGTCATTATTTTTCTTCTGAACTGCAGAAAAGCTCTCAAATCGAGTCCTGTGGCGAAATCTAGCTGCTTAAAAGGACCACTTTTCTGAAAGAAGGTGTTTTCAACTTTCTCACATTCACTTTCCTTTTGAAGTCAGCTGATTTCAAAGGCATGAAATCACATTTGGTGTCAGTTGACTCTGACTATTAGAAACCCAGGTGACGGGGCAGAGCCGCCCTATGGGGTGCCTGGGGCTGTAACCGAGGCAGGCTGCCAGGTCTGTCTCCGGCAGAGCCGTCGGGTGGGGCTGAACTGCCGACCTTTTGGTGAGCGGCTGAGTGCTCAATCACTGCGCCATGAGGGCTCCTTACAAACTAATGTTTCCCTGCAGCTTTGGGGGTGCACATTATCTGACTGTTTGAGAATCTCATTTTCTGGCTGCTGAAGTGAGCGGTGTGGCAAGTAAGTTCCAGTGTTCAAACGCACAAGAGGACAGACCACAGATAGACAGAACTCTCAGCTGGAAGGGAAGGTGGAGATGTGTGAGCCAACTTTCTCCTTTTACTCACAAAGAGGCACAGAGAGGTGGAGAAGAGCCCCAAGTCACAGGGCTACTTAGGGGCAGCGCCAGGATTCGTGTGACCTTGGGGCCCAGCGTGCTCACCACAGTACACTGAGTACTCAAGGTGACCTTCACCTCGAGCCCACGGCCACTCCACCCACAGTCCTTCCTAGGGCCAGTCTGGAAAGTGGTCAAGCCCACATGCTTTCAAGTCAAACAGATCTGCTCTAGAATCATGAGTCTGACGGAACAAAGCTGTGTGACCTTGGGCAAGTCACTTACCCTCTCTGAGCCTCAGTTGTATCATCTGCCTTAGGTGACAAGGAGGGGCATAAACGACGGAACACACCTCCTGTGCCTGTCGTGAGGGTTAAATGGGATCCAGTGGAACACAGATGTTAGCTGCAGCAGTCCTCTGACCCTTCAGAAAAGCAGCTTTGAACTCCCAGCCCCTCTCAAAGACGTTTACAAATTTTACCAGTCGTGTGCTGTAGTGCAAGAGAGTTCAACTCACAGCGATCCCACGGGGCAGAGGAGAAGCCATAGGGTCTCCCAGGCTGCCATCTTCACGGGAGCAGGTCTTTCTCCCACGGAACTGCTGACTGGATGTGAGCCAGGGGCCTCTGGTTGGCAGTGAAGCCGTGAAACAGTGAGCCCTTAGGGCTCCGCTGCAAACTTCTAGGGGTTTAAAACCCCATGGTCACCCGTATCTCTGGCTTTCTTTCTCGTCTGAGTTCTTGTCTGAAAATTATGGCCTTTTTTTTTTTTTTCTTTTAAAGCCTCCCTCCTCAGGTATTGGGAGCTCTGGTGGCATAGTGCCAAAGGCACTTGACTGCTAACCAGAAGGCTGGCGGTTCAAACCCACCAGCCACTCCTCAGAAGGAAGGTTGGGCAATCTACTTCCATAGTGATACT